TAAATTAAGGGCAGACTCTTCTGGCATTTGTCTGTGTAGTGCCTAGCAGACTGGGGTAGAGCAGGGTGAGGCTCCTCATTAGCTCTGATCAGATAAATATTTAAAATAATTATTCTGGGGAGAGGGTGACTCTAAATGACATCCAAACAGTGAGGCATGAGAAGGTGCCAGCTTCTATCCAAGTATTTTATGCATTTTAAAAACACACAAATGGCATTAATTTGTCTAAATAGCAATGGCTTAAGGTGCCTTTCTCTGACATTAAAAGCAGAGTGCATAAATTGCTCATTTTACCTGATAGCTGCCATTAGCTCTCCATCTGTAACCCACACCTCCTGCTAACAAGGACAGAGCTGTAATACTCATTAGGACTCTCCCTTCAGAGGAAGCTGAGTGAAAAAGCCCCAGACTTCTATGCCGCAGCAGAAGGTGAAAATGTTACCAGATGAACAATTCTTTCCAGCAGTGCTTCAGCTAGTCTCCCTATGTAATTGAAGATTTATTGTAAGCCATCAAACCCCATTATTTCCCATCAAGGAGTCCTTGCTTTTCAGCCCCTCACTTATCCAAAGACATACTTGCTGATGAGAGGTGCAGAGCCAGCAGGAAAGATGGACAAAGTAAATAATTAAAATGGGGGTTGAGTTCCCATTTGCTACTGAAAGTGCACAAAAATAGAACGAGATAGGGCATCAGAGGTGCTCCAGGGGGTGGCTGTTATGTCTGTTGGCAATTTTGCTCTCTGGGAGGATTTTTCATGACAGAGATACTTAAGTATTTGGTTTAGAAAGGCAACCTATCACGATTTTATATGGAAACACTCTGCTGTGGATAACACTGAGCGAGCACACTGAGCACACCTATAGATCAGACCCCTGGTGTCAGCCTCCAGCAAATGAGGGACTGAAATGACTGGACAACTGTGATACATTAGGTTGAAAAAACTTCATTATACCATGTATGTCTATATCACTGGCAAGAACTGAGTCCGTATCTCCAAAGCAGCATTCTTCTCCCTTAACTATTTGATCTTGTCACTCTCCGTAACCTTCACTTGGTACCTTAACATCTTTCAACACCTGAAAGACGTAAAACAAGTGTTCTGCAGCAGCCTCTCCTGCCCAGAGAGCAAACCCAGTATCTCTGTGAGTCATGTAGTGACTCAAACACATTAAACAAGGCAGAAATCCTGGGGTGGGGGGAGGGAAGAGTATGTGGTAACGCACCTAAAGTCCATCTCCTAATGGACTGGAGCAAGAGGACAGAGGGAAGAACAAATAAGCAGTGACAGCTCTGATTTGTCCCAGTGCTGTGATTGCTGTCAAGTCACAACAATAGCAGTACCAAAATCGCCCCTTTCCTGTACTTTATACACACTGCACATGACTCTGTAACAGCAGAGGAAGAAATTCCATCACCAGTTACTGGTCAGATGTGCCATCAGGGAGGTGATCTCTTCCAGGTTCACTTCCCTCCCTGCTGCTCCCAGCAAGGAAACAGCTCCAGGGAGGCTGGGGTGAGACAGGCGAGTGGAGCTGTGCTGGCAGGACATGGGGGTATCCAGCACCCTGTACAGCAGATTAATAGATTGTGGTTGCCAGTCCAAAGCTTGTTAATCTGCAGTGTACATATATTCTTCCACCCATGCAATGCTGTTCTTCACCCTATAAATTACCAGTGGTATCAATGAAGAGCCAAATGTGAAGAAGCAAACTTCAGGACAGGAACCATGCAGTTTTCTGATGCTGTGATGTCAGACACCCCCCATTATTCCCACATGTGATCTAAACCAGGGCTGCTCCAGCCGGCTCCACCAGGATGGGGATGATGGGAAAAAGCAGGAACCTGCAGCCCACAGCTCTTTTACTGTGAAAGTGACAGGCAACCACCAGAGGGCCAAAATGAGGTGAAGTTATTGTAAAAAGGCTGTAGCTCTTTTTTTTTAAATAAATATTTGAAAGTACAGTTATTTTTTGTCATCAATGCTGTCATTCTGACTAAACATCACTCAGAGCTGGAGAGCAGGTCCCTGTGGGGTTATTATGGTGGGAGGCTGGGACAGCACTACCCTTCATGTCATGCTTGTTTACCCAGCCAGGAGCTGCGTGCTGGGATGGAGGACACTCCCCATCCCACCCCACCCCACCCCATCCCATCCCACTCCATCCCAGTCCATCCCACCCCATCCCACTCTGGGATCATTGCAGGATCTTGGGATCACTGTGGGAACCTGGGATCATGGTGGGATCCTGGGATCATCTTGGGACCCTGGGATCACTGTGGGATCCTAGGATAATGGTGGGACCCTGGGATCATCTTGGGATCACTGTGGAATCCTGGGTTCATGGTGGGACCCTGGGATCCCTGTGGGATCCTGGGATCACTGCAGGACCCTGGAATCACTGTAGAACCCTGGGATCATGGTGGGACCCTGGGATCACCTTAGGGTCCTGAGATCACTGTGGGATCCTGGGATCATCTTGGGGCCCTGGGATCATGATTGGTGGGACCCTGGGATTTCTGTGGGACCTTGGGATCACAGTGGGATCCTGAGATTGCTGTGGGATTCCAGGATCATCTTGGGATCCTGGCATCACCTTGGGATCCTGGAATAATGGTGGGACCCTGGGATCACCTTGGGATCTTGGGATCATGGTGGGACCCTGGGATC